TCTTCATGCCGACAAATATGACAACTTTCAAGGACAGCGGAGATGAGAGAAGGTGAATGAACTGTTGGCGGGTCTGAAGAAACAGCAGTCTGTGTTTACTCACAGCCGAGACATCAGTGACGCTGCAGTGAAAGCTAGCTACCTCATTGCTAATAAAATCGCAGTGGCTTCAAAACCATTTAGTGAGGGTGAATTTGTAAAAACATGCATGATGAAGGCAGCGGAGATTGTGTGCCCTGAAAAGCGGCAGGCTTTTGCAAATATCAGCCTGACAAGAAACACAGTTGCAGACAGGATTTCCAATCTTTCAGTGGATTTGGACAGCCAGTTGAAGCAAAAAGTAAAGTCATTTATTGCGTTTTCGGTTGCAATTGATGAAAGCACAGACATTACAGATGTTGCACAACTGGCCATTTTCATCCGCGGAGTTGATGACACATTGACCGTCACCGAGGAGTTCGTGGAGTTGGTGCCGATGACAGATACAACGACAGCAGCTGATATTTTTAACCGCACTCGTCGGCGCGCTGGACAGGGTCGGAGTGGACTGGTCCCGCGCTGTCAGCCTGGCTACAGATGGTGCGCCCTCAATGATCGGGAAAAAAGCAGGCGTTGTGACAAAGTTCAGAGAGAAAGTGCAATCTGCAAATGGAGGATGTGATTTTTTGACTTTTCACTGTATTTTGCACCAGGAGGCTTTGTGTTGCAAGTCATTAAAGATGGATAACGTCATGAAGGTGGTCATCCAAACTGTTAATTTCATCCGATCCAGAAGCCTGAATCACCGTCAGTTTGACAGCCTTCTCAGAGAGAAAGACCACATCTATGGCCTGCCATACCACACTGAGGTAAGATGGTTAAGCCGAGGTGCTGTGCTGAGGCGTTTCTTTGATTTACGAGAAGAAATTGAACAGTTCATGGAAGAAAAGGGCAAACCAGTGTTAGAATTTCATTCCGCAGAATGGATGCAGGACCTTGCATTTATGGTGGATGTTACAGAGCACCTGAATAACTTGAACAAACAGCTGCAAGGGCGCAACAAAGTTGTCACGCAGTATTATGACAGCATACGTTCTTTCAAGTTGAAGCTGTCATTGTGGGAGACGCAACTTGCCGGTGGTGATGCAGCTCACTTCCCCTGTCTGAAAAATGTGTGCGCGACCCAACATGTGGCAGACATGAAGCGGTTCAAAGATAAAATAACGGGACTGTTACGGGAGTTTGAGCAACGCTTTCAGATTTATGTTTATATGTTTTTATGTTGATGTGCTATTGTTTTTTAATTGATTTTATTTGTATATTTAACCTATTCTTGACTCTGTGGTTCTTGCACTTGTTTGGGGAACCGGATTTCATTATTTTTATCTACATTTCTGCCTGAGAAATGACACCCTGATATAGTTCAGTGATCTGTGATATACTTCTGTGAATCACTGAGGCATTGTGTGTTTGTGTGTTCTTTGTCCTCAGAACTTTCAAATAACTTGGTGTTTTATGATTAATAGTGATGTTGTGCTTTTGGACACTGTCCTCAGGCTCCAGCTTTATGTTTATATGTTTTTATGTTGATGTGCTATTGTTTTTAATTGATTTTATTTTATTTGTATATTTAACCTATTCTTGACTCTGTGGTTCTTGCACTTGTTTGGGGAACAGGATTTCATTATTTTTATCTACATTTCTGCCTGAGAAATGACACCCTGATATAGTTCTGTGATCTGTGAAACAGTTCTGTTAATCACTGAGGCATATATGAGGCACGATATTATAACCGCGATCGATAATAGACAGTACTGTGCAGCCGTTTTCATTGACCTGGCCAAGGCTTTCGACTCTGTCAACCACCGCATTCTTATTGGCAGACTAAATAGCCTTGGTTTCTCAAATGACTGCCTCGCCTGGTTCACCAACTACTTCTCAGATAGAGTTCAATGTGTCAAATCGGAGGGCCTGTTGTCTGGACCTATGGCAGTCTCTATGGGGGTGCCACAGGGTTCAATTCTTGGGCCGACTCTTTTCTCTGTGTATATCAATGACGTCGCTCTTGCTGCTGGTGACTCTCAGATCCACCTCTACGCAGATGACACCATTTTGTATACATCTGGCCCTTCATTGGACACTGTGTTAACAAACCTCCAAACGAGCTTCAATTCCATACAACACTTCAGTAGCCTCCAACTGCTCTTAAACACTAGTAAAACTAAATGCATGCTCTTCAACCGAACGCTGCTTGCACCCGCCCACCCGACTAGAATCACTACTCTAGACGGGTCTGACCTAGAGTATGTGGACAACTACAAATATCTAGGTGTCTGGTTAGACTGTAAACTCTCCTTCCAGACTCACATTAAGAATCTCCAATCCAAAGTTAAATCTAGAATCGGTTTCCTATTTCGCAACAAAGCCTCCTTCACTCATGCTGCCAAACATGCCCTCGTAAAACTGACTATCCTACCGATCCTTGACTTCGGCGATGTCATTTACAAAATAGCCTCCAACACTCTACTCAGCAAATTGGATGTTGTCTATCACAGTGCCATCCGTTTTGTCTCCAAAGCCCCATATAATACCCACCACTGTGACCTGTACGCTCTTGTTGGCTGGTCCTCACTACATATTCGTCGCCAAACCCACTGGCTCCAGGCCATCTATAAATCACTGCTAGGCAAATCCCCGCCTTATCTTAGCTCATTGGTCACCATAGCAACACCCACCCGTAGTCTGCGCTCCAGCGGGTATATCTCACTGGTCATCCCCAAAGCCAACACCTCCTTTGGCCGCAATTCCTTCCAGTTCTCTGCTGCCAATGACTGGAACAAATTGCAAAAATCTCTGAAGCTGGAGACCCTTATCTCCCTCACTAACTTTAAGCATCAGTTGTCAGAGCACCTTACCGATCACTGCACCTGTACACAGCCCATCTGAAATTAGCCCGCCCAACTACCTCATCCCTATATTGTTATTTATTTTGCTCATTTGTACCCCAGTATCTCTATTTGCACATCATCTCTTGCACATCATTCCAGTGTTATTACTAAATTGTAATTATTTTGCACTATAGCCTATTTTATTGCCTTACCTCCATAACTTGCTAAATTTGCACACTGTATATTATATGTATTTCTGTTGTATTTTTGACTTTGTTTTGTTTTACCCCATATGTAACTCTGTGTTGTTGTTTTTATCGCACTGCTTTGCTTTATCTTGGCCAGGTCGCAGTTGTAAATGAGAACTTGTTCTCAACTGGTTTACCTGGTTAAATAAAGGTGAAATAAAAAAATAATAAAAAATTGTGTGTTTGTGTGTTCTTTTTCTTTAGAATTTTCAAATAAACTTGACGTGTTTTATGATTAATAGTGATGTTGTGCTTGTACTATTTTGGACACACTGTCCTCAGGCTCCAGCTTTATGTTGTATGTTGATCATATTAAAACAAAGAAAACAATCTGAAGTTGTTGTTTTTAAGTTATATATATATATATATATATTATTTGAATGATTTCTCCATGTTGCCCCTGGCTAAAATGAGTTTGACACCCTGCTTTAGACAAACCCAATAAGTATTGTAATGTTTTTTTTAAATGAAAAAGCTTCATTGAGCAAATTCAGAATTTGCAATTAATCACCATTTTTATTTAATGTTTGACAGTCCTGTTTGTTATAGTCAATCGGCTAGGGGCAATGTACTAACGTTACCATCAAGACAGAAAATGGGATAATAAATAGAATGATACCTATGGCTATGTTCTTCTGAGTTGTGTCTAGCAGGGTGTGGAGACTGGAGTCTGTTGTAGGCAATACAAGAAGAAGGGGCTAACTATCTAGCTAGCTTGCTAATAAATGTTTTCATAGACTAAAAGGCATATGCTAGTGAACGTTAGCTATACTGTACGTTATTTGCAAATAACCTATGAACAACTTTATCAACATGTATTGCTGGATAGCAGCTACCTGACTCGATGGGACAATTGCCACTAGTAGCTAACTAGCGTGCAAAAGCCAAATGGCAAAGCCTAGCTAAACTGTCAGACTTAAGGCACATAGCTAATCGTTGGCTAAGGTGGCTAACTTATACAAACATTTTTGACTAGCTACAGACTGTACAGTAGCTAAGCAGTCAGCAAACTGCTTCTCGTGTCCGGTATTATTTACATGATGTGTATGGAGTATGTAGCTAGTTGGATCACAATTAACTCCCCGTCAGTTTGTTCGCTAGCAGGATCTAGCATAGGCTAAAGTTTAGCTTCAGGCAGGATAATTAGTTCAAAGATGTTTGTAACTAACGTTAACTGGGTAACGCTAGCCAGCCAGCAAACTTGATCTAGGTACTAGCTTAGCAAACTAGCTAACGTTATTTTTGCAGCAAAAATAATTTAGGACGGATACAACCTAGCTAATTACTAAATGTCGTAAAACAATGAGCAAAGCTTATCAAAATACTGACTAGTTATGTAGCTACCTTCTCTTCCCCAGTGAGCTGTTCTTCGAAATCGGCCATCTTGGCTCAACAGACAAACCTCTGCTGATCTGCGACTACACAGTGTCACCATAGAGAGAACAATTAGCCAGATATTTCACCGGATGTATAAATGTGAAACAACTCACTACCAAACATGGTGATGAGAGGAAGCTCAGTGGCCGGCAGTGGGAGAAGATGGAGCGAGATGGATTTTGGCCAACAGTCTGCTAATTTTCTCATCTCCATACAGTTTTCTGTAACAAACAGAGGGGACTGCGTTTTGTAGACTTTACCCTTTTCCCAAAGTAAAAATAAAATGCGTTGTTTAGAAGGAGTGCAAGGGCGACTTTAGATATTGCACACGCGCACTTCATAGAGTAACGGAAATATGCAAATTCATGCTAGAACAGGCCAATAGGATCTCGCTATCTCGTGCTTGGCTCTGCCCACCTCCTTGCTTGTTCTGCCCACTATGATTAATTTGCTCCCATTGGAAACGACAGGCTCTGGTCTTTCTTGGGTTAGTTATAACAAATCTTTGGTGCCACTGGCACATGATTCTTCTGTTTACAGCACAGCCATCCGGTGAAAACATGGAGGACGCCACCAGCAGTAATCCTCAATCTATTGGATTTACAGATAAATTAAAATCGTGGCTGTCCTGGTCATGGACATACATATGTGCTGTTTGGTTTGCCATGGTTTTAACTATGATCTATGTTCTGCGAAGCCCCTTGAAACTGCAGGACACTCTTACCTCGGGTGAGTTAGCTAGCTGTAATGCAGAGCCATCTATGAATGGGCAAGCTAGCTAGTTAGCTAATGTAGCTAGCCAGCCTGCTAGCTAACAAATAGAAATCGAGAGACAGTGGATGAACTGAAAGTTTGACAGTTCCATAGCCAGCATCTCAGGATGGCTTATTTATTGATTGTTAGCTAGAAATATTAGCTAGCTAATGTGGCTAGCTATTAGACATATGGCTAGCTAGCTGTTATGCTTATGCATTACAACTAACCAGCTAGCTAGATCGCTAGTTTACATCATTCAAACTAGCAATGCATAGTGATGGCATTAGTTTCTTAGTCAGTGTGGCATTCGCTAATCGCTAGAGACATAGCTAACTAGCTATATCTATCTTCATTGATGGCCATGTTACTTCAACATCGCTAGCTAGGTACACTGACCCAGCCCAGGAGGATCTGTTTGTGGTGGGCTCTGCATTGTCAGCCTCTAACTTACGTTCAGTGTTCAATCTGAATCCCAGTCTTAGTCAGTCAGACATGTGCAGTGTCATTCATTTGTGTGTTATGGATTTGTTGTTTCAGCATCTGTGTTCTTGAATACACTGACCCCTAAATTCTATGTGGCACTCACTGGAACATCCTCTCTCATCTCTGGCCTAATCTTGGTGAGTTGTGAAGATCACAGGGTTATTCACTGCATGGGGTTGGTGAATATAGTTAGCCTTGATTGTAGTTTGGACACTCTACATTGGGAAATGTGCATTTCAGATACCAACACCAAAGGTAGCCTAGATTCGTTGTACAGTTAGCTAGTGCACAATGATATGATATTAATAAAATAAATGACAATCAATTTAATTGTTAAGAATATTTGTATACTGGTACATTGCTCTCTGTATGACTGTCCCAATCCCCTGCCTGCAGATATTTGAGTGGTGGTACTTCCGTAAGTATGGGACCTCGTTCATTGAGCAGGTGTCTGTTAGCCATCTGCGGCCTCTCCTAGGTGGGGTGGAGAGCAGCACGACCACTGGCCTGTTCTCCTCAGTCAACGGAGAGACTGAGCCCAGACCAAGTGTCTCAGGTAAACATTTCACCAATATTATGGTTCCCCAAACAGACCACAGACCTGGGTCTTATTAATTAGTGCACAGCACACTGTAGCAAACCGCAGCTAAACATTTTGCAACGGACAACAAAAACTAGCATTTCTGATTGGACAAGTTAATTTACTCTCTCACTGTTTCAGTCCGTTTTCTTCCATTTGGTGGCCAGTGAATATGTGACCCAGGTTTGCAAGGCCATCAATATAATGATACAATGACACTTGTCTTTTGCAGAGTGTAAAGTTTGGAGGAATCCTTTAAATCTATTCAGAGGAGCAGAATACAGCAGGTACGTACATCCCCACCACAGGATGTCACTCATCCTGAGTTTAGCTACACTGGCCTCCTAACTTAAGGTAAATTGCTATTTGTAAATACTTCACCCGAACACTCTTTATTTTGTACCCCTCTAAAGGTACACCTGGGTGACTGGAAAAGAGCCTTTGACCTACTACGATATGAACCTGTCTGCTCAAGACCACCAGACCTTCTTCACTGGCGACACTCAGCAACTCAAGCCTGAAGATACTGGTTAGAATCTAATCTTTTCAATCGGTATATCATGAAATAGCGAAAGCCAAAGTTTACATTTCTGGGAAGGAATAGAATCCTACATTCTTTGTAAAAGCCTGCTTTGGGCCTTATTGGCCTCACTCCTATGTCTCTGATGATAGTGTTCTGGATCCATTTCTAGGCAAAACATTCAGTATTTGTTATATTTTTCTGTCCTCTTGCAGTAATGCAGAAGGCCTGGAGGGAGAGAAATCCCCAAGCCCGGATCAGAGCAGCTTACCAGGCCATAGAGATGAACCACGAGTGAGTTCCACCACCATAACAGTTTTGGTGGCGGTTCAAAGACATTGCATGCTCATTTAGGAAAATCCTAAATGAATAGTCTTATTCAGCAAAACAAGTATGTATATTCTATGAAGTAGAAAGCATAGCTAGTGTTTTCCTTGTGGTTTTTAGGTGTGCTGCTGCCTATGTACTCCTGGCTGAGGAGGAAGCAACCACCATCACAGAGGCAGAGAGGCTGTTCAAACAAGCCCTGCGGAGCGGTAAGAGAGAACAGAGAGGACAGGACCAAATCACAAGCTTCAGGCCTTTTACCTTTTAGAATCATTAGTCAGGGATGGGATTTTTATAATTAAATGCAATACATTTCCTCTCTTGCATAGCTGGCAAAGACATCAACTTGCTGGTGTATATCAAACGCAGACTGGCTATGTGTGCACGCAAGCTGGGACGCATCAAGGAGGCAGTGAAAATGATGAGAGATGTGAGTGTTGCCATTTCCTTAACCAGGGGTGTTCAAATCAGGGCCTTGACTTCTGCATTATGGCTGTCTATGCAGGTAACGTAGCAGTTAGAGCGTTGAGCCAGTAACCGAAAGGTTGCTGGTTCGAATACCCAAGCAGACAAGGTGAAAAATCTGTCTGTGTCCTGGAGCGAGGCAAGAACAACACATTGTTTTTGCCCTGTAAAAACAACACATTTCACTGTATGTAATAATACAACATATTTTATTTTTGTATTACATTTTTTAAATTGATTGATGCCATTGATTGGCTAGAGGGAGAGTTCACTTACCTGGGATGCGTTCAGTTCGCTTCAACATTTGCTACATTGCATGGCGATTTGTACTGAATGACACGTTTTGACATACCTTTGGGGTATGTTTGGTGGGTGTGGCAAGGTGTGACTGGATCAGTATGGATGTTACCATCTGAAATCGCAAAACTCATGCAGTACACCATACACAATCGCCCTCTGGACCACCATAATCACAACGTCTTTTTAACTGGTCGTTCAGTACAGTACCGTTTCCGTTGAATTCAACATTTTCCACTGTTTTGTCGTACTGAACGCAACCCTGGTATCCCAGGTCTGAATTAGTCGCTGTTTAGAGGATAAAAGAACAAACAAGTAATGTGGACCTGGAGGACCTGATTTTTATAGTCCTGTCTTTAGCCCTCTTCTATCAACCTTTAATACTGGTTAGTCCTGACATTTTATGATTCCTTCTCTCACTTACTGTTCCTTACTTTTCCCAGTTAATGAAAGAATTCCCACTGTTGGGAATGTTGAATATACATGAAAACCTCCTGGAGGCGTTACTGGAGCTGCAGTCCTATGCTGATGTACAAGCAGTCCTCGCCAAATATGACGGTAAAATATATGCAATGTAGCAGATGCTTTTATCCAAGGCGACAGTAATGAGTGCATACATTTTCATATTAGTGGGCCCAGCGGGAATCAAACCCATGATCCTGACGTTGAAAGCAACATGCTACCAACTGAACCACATAGGACCACATGAGAAAAACATGGTTCAAGCCAACTAACTACAATAACTTTGAACCATTCATGATTTACAGACTCATAGTTTGAGCTTAAAGTGAAATAAACATAATTTGTTCTCGTTGTAGATATCAGCTTGCCAAAGTCAGCTACTATATGCTACACATCTGCACTGCTGAAAGCACGGGCTGTATCAGATAAGTAAGTGTCCCTGTGGAAAAATGGATTTGCATTCTGACAGAAATGTGGGGAAAATTTGATTTAAGATCCGTTAGTAACCATTATTGTACCATTTTATAAGACATACAAAAACAGTATACTGTATGATATATACTTGACATAGATGCATCTGTTGTTATAGGGCAGACAAGTAGCACAGGGAATTCTCTCTACTAACAATCAATACTTTTTTGTGGCACATCCAACCCCCTATTTGTGACAAGTGCAGGAGATCCCCAACTTGAAGCTGTCCTCCTAACTTCTGTCTAAACATGGGTGTGTCTTTCTCTCTGTCTCTCTCTCTCCATCCGTCCCAGGTTTTCTCCAGAGGCAGCATCCCGGCGGGGCCTGAGCACTGCAGAGATGAACGCTGTGGAGGCTATACACAGAGCTGTGGAGTTCAACCCACATGTGCCAAAGGTCAGTCGAGACCCTCAGCCACAGGTCTAGGATCAGCTTACGCTATCCAAATCCTAACCTTAACCACTAATGGCAAGAAAGGTACATATCTAGAATCAGCTTAGCGTACCCTATCCAAGTCCTAACCTGAACAATTAGTGGGGGAAATGCAACAACTGAGATATTACTTTGTCTGTTTATTCCGTTACCTTTATTTGAGCTAATTCTGTCATATTTTACAAACACAGGTGATGGCTATTTTAGTTATTTCTCTGTACTCCGTTCTCTTCTGGGGTGATGGCAGCGTAGAGCGCATCAACGTCTCTACCAGAAGTGTGCTGACTGTAGTACTTGTAATGACCTATGATAGCCAGCAGGTGTCAGTATTGCACTGCATAGGAAAAGTAGCTGATGTAGTCAGGACTGGACCTGTGAGCCACTTCTACTCACTCTCTCTGCAGCACAGTAGAACATGGTGCCCTGCACTTAGTGGATTTTTCTAAAGGTACAACTATAAGCCTGATTATTATTCCATTGGCTATCTATCAATTGACTATGAAGAGTTCCTAGTGAGATCTGGATCGTGTTTCTGTAGGGCATACCGTAGCAAAACGTTTGCAACAGAAAGTACAAATCTGTGTTTTTATTGCGTAAGATCAGGTAGTACATCCCCCATTTCAAAATGTTTTCTACCTACTGAACAGGAACCTGAGGTGTAACCTCGTTGATCATGGATATGACTGGGCTGGGATCTGGTCTGGGCGACAACAAGGGGCCTGATGTGTCTCCCTGCAGTAGACAGACAGAAACAATTCCTGCACATCTCTTCCCACAGGGATTAGTCTTGGATGTCCCATAGTAAAACACACAATCTCACACACACACACACACTCTCTCTCACACTCATTCACATACACACTCACGCACACAGAGGTCGCAGTCTCTCTACAGCAAATGTTTGTGTGTGTTACATCCCGTGTGCTCCGTGTGTGTGTGTGTGTGTGTGTGTGTGTGAGCTGCGATGTGTGGCAGTCACAGGCAGCGAGGGGGAAACTCAGTGCTTTGATCCAGGCTTTGATGTGAGGGCCCTCATCCTGAGTGTCTCCCTGTCCCCCACCCTGCCCCAGGGGCATTGCTGCCCCCCTCTCTACTCCCTTCTCAGCCCCCCTTTGCCCCCTCTCATCCCCCTGCCACGGCACTGACAAACAGGGCGGGTCAGACTATAAAGTAGTGATCCCAGAGATAGTGCACATCTACAGCACCTCTGCTTTCAACTGGTGATACCCTAGACCCTTCAAACTCAACTCTGGACCTCGAAGCCAGTTCCATTGCATTTTGTCATTGTTCCCCTCTAATCAGGAACTGATTTAGACCTGGGACACCAGGTGTGTGCAATTCATTATCAGGTAGAACAGAAAACCAGCAGGCTCCGGACCTCGTAGAGTAAGAGTTGAATACCCCTGCCCTAGACCGTTGAGCTAGGAGAGACTAATCTGTTCTCTCTGTCTGTCAATCTCTGTCCCATTGAAGAAGATCTTCTCCCTCCCAGTCTTTCACACGGGGTTCACGTCTCATAATAGACAGACAGACAGGAAATACTCCAAACCTTTTAGAATTTTTCTAATCCATCAGATATTGACTGAATTAAAGCACATAAAACATTTTACTGGCACTGACAAATAATGAGTTCAGGGATTTTGGTGGGAATTCAGATATAAAATGTATTTTCAAGTGTCACTTTGTTTCTTAGAATGCACTTATATACAATACAGTGCCTTCAGAAAGTATTCACACCCCTTGACTTTTTCCACATTTTGTTGTGTAACAGCCTGCATTTAAAATGGATTCAATTGAGATTTTGTGTCACTGACCTACACAAAGTGGAATTATGTTTTTAGACATTTTTACAAATTAATAAAAAAATGAAAAGCTGAAATGTCTTGAGTCAATAAGTATTCAACCCCTTTGTTATGGCAAGCCATAATAAGTTGCATGGACTCACTCTGTGTGCAATAACAGTGTGTAACATGATTTTTGAACGACTACCTAATCTCTGTACTCCACACATATACAATTATCTGTAAGGTCCCTCAGTCGAGCAGTGAATTTCAAACACACATTCAACCACAAAGACCAGGGAGGTTTTCCAATGCTTCGCAAAGAAGTGCACCGATTGGTAGATGGATAAAAGCAGATATTGAATATCCTTTTGAGCATGGTGAAGTTATAGTTACAGTTACAGAGTTTGATGGCTGTGATAGGAGAACTGAGGATGGATCAACAACATTGTAGTTACTCAACAGGACTAACCTAAATGACAGAGTGAAAAGGAAGAAGCCTGTACAGATTAAAAATATTCCAAAACATGCATCCTGTTTGCAATAAGGCACTAAAATTGCAAAAAATGTGGCAAAGAAATTAACTTTGTTCTGAATACAAAGTGTTATGTTTGGAGAAAATCCAACACACCACATCACTGAGTACCACTTTTCATATTTTCAAGCATGGTGGTGGCTGCATCATGTTATGGTATGCTTGTCACTGGCAAGGAGTGGACTAGGGAGTTTTTCAGGATAAAAAGAAACAGAATAGAGCTAAGCTCAGGCAAAATCCTAGAGGAAAACCTGGTTCAGTCTGCTTTCCACCAGACACTGGGAGACAAATCCACCTTTCAGGAGGACAATAACCTAAAACACAAGGCCAAATATACACTGGAGTTACTTACCAAGATGACATTGAATGTTCCTGATTGGCCTAGTTACAGTTTTGACTTAAATCGGCTTCAAAATCTATGGCAAGACTTGAAAATGGATGTATAGCAATGATCAACAACCAACTTGACAGAATTTTAAAGAAAAATAATGTGCAAATATTGTACAATCCAGGTGTGCAAAGACTCTTAGAGACTTACCCAGAAAGACTCACAGCTGTAATCCCTGCCAAAGGTGAATCAAACATATATGTAAAGTGGTTATCCCACTGGCTATAGGGTGAACGCACCAATTGGTGAGTCGCTCTGGATAAGAGCGTCTGCTAAATGACGTAAATGTGCCCTTGAGCAAGGCACTTAACCCTAATTGCTCCTGTAAGTCGCTCTGGATAAGAGCGTCTGCTAAATGACTAAAATGTAAAATGTAAATGTAAATATATTGGTTGGCTCAATGCTGTGAATACTTATATATTTCTGTATTTCATTTTCAATATATTAGCAAAAATTTCAAAGACATGTTTTCACTTTGTCAGTATGTGGTATTGTAGTGTAGATGGGTGAGATTTTAATGTATTGAATCAATTTTGAATTCAGGCTGTAACACAACAAAATGTGGAACAAGTCAACGGGTATGAATACTTTCTGAAGATACTGTACATTTCTAATGGTATCAGGTATTTTTTTCTTTGTTAAAATAAAGAAAATTATGTGCCTAATTTGCATAAATACAATTGTTGTATTTGCATATATGAAAACATTAACATAACGGGATGGAACAGGGCTGCAAAAACGTGCTCTGTCTACGCTTACCTGCACTCACCTGTGCTCTCTAGACTGCCTAATTAATTACTGTTATTGTCACTTTCTGTTGCATAATTCAACAAGTGTGTCAATAGCAGGATATCCTGGATTATAAATCAACACGTGTGGCTGTAGATTACACCTATATAAACATACTTTACAGTGTTTGCGAGAGCAGACATAATATCACTATAATCCAAGCAAATCTAGTTTGTAAACATCTGTATTAAATGATTACTTTTTTTAAATTCCACAAAAAATCAACACCCATCAAAATAAAGTTATCTATCTTCTCTTTCTTGTGATGTAACTGTCAAAACGATGCGTTGAATCCCAGATGAAGCTTTAGCGTTCTTATAGATCCAACGGAAACACAATGAATTCCATTGAGTCCATTTCAGCCATTACCGGGGTGTGTTTGACAGATCATTACAAACATTTCCGCAGTAGTAACTTTAACGGGAAAAAATGACAGGCACAAGCAAGAGTATGAAAGGGTCGCAGGAGTAAAAAGAAAGCAATCAATCCAGTGAGATGTAAGTGACAGGTGTATTTTGCACCCCTCAAACACAGGAAATAGATGGCTGAAAAAGACAGATCCTCAGGTGGGTGGCATGCGCGTTGCTACACGCAGGCAGACATGATGACTGACTTAATGTGGTGACTTGTAAACAGCTGTGTATGTCAGAGGGTTCTCAGGAGCTCCGGATTGTTCTGTGACCTCACCATGTCAAGTCAACACATTGACTCCGCTAGAGGTTGGGTGCTTTGGTGTTCTTATAGTGAAAGCTTTTGACTGTTGACTGAGATTTTGCAGCGGGATTATTTCCTGGTCAAAATTATTTGTGTCAGACCTGTCTTTATTTATTTATTGATCAAGGTGAGTCCCATTGAGATCTTATTAAGGTACAGTGTGTATCTCTTTCACAAGGGAGCTCTGTCCTTGTCTATCTAAATGGTCAGTGAGTGCACCTGTAGCCGTAGTGCCCGAGGCCTGCCTGGCGTGGGCTGTTTTCTGCCCAGCAGCCAGTTCACACACAGATACCAGTTGTTCACTGGACTGGAGCGAGCTGCTCTGGCTCTGTTGTGGGTGGGCTTCCATTCCCAGCAGCTTCCCCGCATTCCCCTGCTTCAATCAACGAGCGAGACCCCCCGATTCCTCCCCCGGCCTCGGCAACGTGAACCCTTAGCAGCCAGCCCCCCAGCCAGCCAGTCCCCCAGCCAGCCCCCACCAGCCAGCCTTGGAAGAGTGGTGTAATGAAGGCAAGATTTATGGGCATTCTGGGAGGTCAGGCGTGGGGAGTGTTAGGGCCAGCATCGCAGCAGGCCTGAGGGGATTATATATGGACATCACGCTACATCACATGAGCAGACTGCACTAAATGCTCCACACACCCAGCTGTTTCAGTGCTCAACCTCTTACCGCTCTGCTCGCTCCCCCTCTCCTCTCCACTTTTTTCCTGTCTGTCCCAATCAGTCTCTCTCTCTCCAAGGAACAGTAGAAAGGTTGAGGAACCAGACAGAGGTAAGCCTGCCTGGCTGGTCAAGTGTTAAGGACACCTGAATGGGTTTTTATATTTAGCACACTTCTGTGGTTAACACTTCCTCACGCATTAGGAGTGCGCTGCTTTGTGCCTGGTAGCCTATGTTGTGGCGATGGCCTCCTCAGCCTTGTTCAGAATTCAGGTGGATGCAGGCTTGACTTAGGTAGTAGTAGGTGTGATCCAACACTTCACTGGAGGAGACGGACGGTAGTAAGAAGTGGCTTGGCACAGATCTAGGGTCAGCTCACCTTCACCAGATCCTAACCTTAATCATTGGAAGGAACAATACAAAACTGACCTTAGATCAGTTTCTTGGCTCAATATCATCCTCCTTCTCCAGCGTCTGTCCAGTACAGTCCACCGCTGCCTGAGGGTGACCTAACATGGCAGACGGCCTCAGAGGTCACCTATCCTTCAACAGCACCGTGAGCCAATGAGACGACGGCTAGATGTTGTCGACGTGTTCCATTGTGCTAAATGCCGAAGATTAAAATCTGAGGGAGGCTTATGAGTTATGCTCCGGCTTATTAGTGTTCCAAGATAAAAGGGGAACATCAATGAAACTCAATCCCTTCATCAAAGAGGCGACTGGTGAAGGGGGGGTAGGGAGGAGGGAGGCAGCGCAGAGGGCCGAGGTGTTACCCACCCTTATGCCAGGGCATGCCAGGAAGGACAGCTGCCAGTCAAATGCTTTGGTAACCATCACCTCTACCCTCTTATTAAACACTGGTATACCTGGGTAAAAGTGCTGCTCCTAACAGAATGAAGTATGCTCAGCATCTATAGCAGGGCTCTCCAACCATGTTCCTGGAGAGCTACCGTCCTGTAGGTTTTCGCTACAACCCTAATCTAGCGCACCTGATTCTAATAATTAGCTGGTTGAATAGCTGAATCAGGTTAGTTATAACTGGGGTTGGAGTGTAAACCGACAGGAGGGTAGCGCTCCAGGAACAGGGTTGGAGAGCCCTGATCTATACAGGAAGCCTAAGTGCTGACTGACGTAAAAGTCTCAATTTTGGAGAGGACATGGAAGTCGCACACGCCATTGAACGACTACAACTCAAATAAATCACTGCAATGAGGAGTGGAGTGTGCAGAAAATGTAATTCTCAAAAACTTGAAAATCACACACAGACAGTTATCCAAGCATACCCGTCATATCATATTAGTGCAGACACACTGTAGCCAGCCAGCTAACACATCACCTAACTGTCCCTGAGAGAAGAGGAGAGCAGTGCAGAGGGCTGGTCTGCCCTGCGGGCCCTGGGTGCGGCCTCCTGGGCGGGCAGGGCGGCTCTGGGGCTGCTCTGCACTGGCCTGGCTGGCTGGCTGAGCCTGTGACCATGGGGGGATTAGACAGGATTAGCTTTAGGGTAACCTTCCCAAAGTGTCAGTCTAAGACCCATAGTCCTGTGAAGCAGGCTGCCTGGGAATCCAGCAGGCCCATCCCCTGCTGCCCCCACAGCCCAGGGGACCAGTTCAGAGGGGATTAACGCCACTGCCACGCCGCCACACACACACAGTCCTACACACACACACACACACACAGTCTTAGACACACGGAGGAAAGTCGGCATCACCACACAGCATAGGACTGCCTGACTCAATGGGACAAACTTACACGGGGAGGAGGGGAGGTTACTCTCTGAATCTAACAATAACAGAGCAGAGAGAAGCATTAGATTTTCCCAACTTGAACAATTGCAAAACAAGGGCTCCCAACAAATACCTCACATGAGGAAAAGTGCATTTCAGTCTATCGTTCAAATAGCCTTAGACTAGGGAATTATTGCTCAAAAGGATATGGATGAGGTGCTGACTAATTCCCATTCAAATAAATGATCTAGGCTGCCCTTGTCTTTCTTGCACTCACATTCACACTTTTTTCTTTTTCTTAACAGCACACATTTTGCAGATAGCGACTATGATTGTGAAATGTGGTTGTTTACCTAGCACTGATTGTAAGCCACTCTGGATAAGAGCGTCTGCAATGTAACTATGATGTCAATGTCTTTGACTGTAATGTACTGTAATGGTGTTATTTCCTGTCTCCCTCTCTGCTGTAGTATTTATTAGAGATGAAGAGTCTGATCCTGCCTCCAGAACACATCCTGAAGAGGGGGGACAGCGAGGCGGTGGCCTATGCCTTCTTTCACCTGCAGCACTGGAAGAGGGCAGAGGGAGCCTTAAACCTGCTGCACTGCACCTGGGAAGGCAGTATGTACTGGGACATTGATTGATTGATTAATTAGTTGGTTGATTGATTCATTGGTTGATTGATTCATTGATTGCATTTCTGGCAATTAAAAACACATAGTTACACATGCATCAATGCATTGGCAGTACTCGCATAAAAAAATCATTGACATTAAAATCTATGCACTTTGAATCTATTCTCATGCTTGATGTGTTTTTCTGCATTTCTCTCCTGCCCCTGCAGCTTTTCGGATAATTCCCTACCCTCTAGAGAAGGGTCACCTGTTTTACCCCTACCCTGGGTGCACAGAAACAGCAGATCGGGAACTGCTGCCCTGTAAGTAGCAGGACAAGTCACTACTATAAAGTATACTCAACGCAATGGTCAATTCTGATGATAATATGTGCCTCTCTCTCTCTCTGTCTCCCCCCCCCCATTCTCTCTCCTTCTCTCCTGCAGCCTTCCACGAGGTGTCTGTGTACCCAAAGAAAGAGCTTCCATTCTTCATCCTCTTCACAGCGGGCCTTTGCTCCTTCACTGCCATGCTGGCCATGCTCACACACCAGTTCCCTGAGCTCATGGGCGTCTTTGCCAAAGCAGTAAGTCGTGCAATTCTCTTCCACTGATCGTTTTGGTTGTTTGGGGTAATATTTACAATGGACCTCTTCACATGGCTGTTTATGTTACGTTCACTGAATTAATACTTGGTGGTCATTTGGGCTAGCGAAAAACAAGGTTGTCAATATATAAATGTAATCTGGATGTAGCTTTTCTCTACTTTGGGATCAACTTTCTCAGGAGTTGCAGGTCTTCAGAGGTGTAGCATTGACATATCCTAGTATAGCAAATACCATTAACCTAGACTGATTTTCAGATATTGAACTGGATCAGTTTAAATTAGAAGCATTTTAATGGGACCATGAAATGATTAAGACATGTTGTATGCGTGTTATTATTCTCATGTACTCTGACCCGGTTGACCTCTGGCGTAGTCGCTGCCTCTCATCTCTGTCAACAACGAGGCTCATGGGATGCCTGGGTCTGGTTGTAAGTCTGTGTCTTTCACTGCACAGCACTAAAGCAATACAGCCAGAATCTCTTATGATTTGATATTGTATTATTTCATGGAGCTGTTTTGTCTCCAAGGTGTGAGAATGAAATATAGCCTAACCATATACTGTTGTGTAAGTAGATTCTAGAGTACTGTACTGTATGACTTGGCGCAAAAGCAGTATCTCCAACTACGCCCTTTCCCAGCCAAGTAGTTAGTAGTTCACTCATGTATTGGATAGCAGGATTTGAATATCATCCACAGAGCAAGAGCTAAGAGGACCACTCTAGGGATTAGTTCAGATCTAGAAAAGTAACGTGTGCCTTTCTCAACCAGAACAGGCTTTTGTTGCCACACTTCCCAGTTCCAAGTCTCTTGAGAAAGCCGGAAATGTAGATTTAGAACAAGCGAACAACACCTTCGCTCAGCAGCACTGTACTTGGCTACTATATCAGACCTGAGGAGGAAACTTGCTTTGATGATGCCGATTTTCCAAAGAGCCGCACCCTGTCAGGAGGGTCTCCAGGGAATGTGGAGGTTAAGGTTTAGGATGATAGAGTGTGCCTGTCACTACCAGAACAGGCTAACACCTCCACTCAGTCCTTCTCAAAGGGCTGTTTTTCAGTCCAGCCCAGGCTCAATTTCCTGATGCACCGTGCCTGTTAAACATCAAAAGTAAAGAACTGCAGTCCAATTGCCCCCATAGCCCATTTCACGAGCCCCTTTTCCCACACATTATGGGAATATATGAGGGCCGAAAGAGCGTAAGCCAGCAGCTGATAACACAATTCGACATAGGCTTACAGCAGAGACATTAGTTCCAGGGTATTAGCATTGGGTTTGATGTATGTGATTTAGTCCCTTATTCATTCATAAGACCGTGTGGCAGACTTTCAGTGTTTCTGTTTTTAGCTTGTTTGGCTAGGCCCTCTCGCACGCTAATCCTCTGTTTACGGTGGCCCTGTTTATTAGCTCTCACTTTACACAGCAGAGCAGGGCCATTAGCCTGGGCAAAAACGAGACCGCCTCGCACTCACACGTTTGTTATGGGAAAGACTGCCTCTAGATAACACTTTTACAGCGCAGCGGAGAGCCTGGTTTGTGTAAGGGCCAGATAGAGGCACTACATGAAAGCCTCGGAGGCTGGAGGGAGCGGAACGGCCCACACCGTTCTCTGAGGAAAAACAGAGATTCCTGCTGAAGAGGATAAAAATCCCCAGCCTGAAACAGGACAGTGGGGTGACCCCCCCCCACACTTCCTCTTTATCTACTCCTAGCCCCACTACATGGCATCCATAGCTGTCCTCAACCAGCTTTTATTAGGCCTAACTTAATTCAACGTGTGCTTTGTAACACACTCCATCTTATGGAGGGTGGATGATGTTTTCAAAGTCTTCAGAAGTAGGTGACTGAGTGGTATGAGGAGAGAGTTAAAAAATATATATATACACTATATGACCAAAAGTATGTGAACACCTGTTCGTCGAGTTGGTCCCCCCTTTGCTGCTATAAAAGCCTCCACTCTTCTGGGAAGGCTTTCCACTAGATGTTGGAACATTGCTGCGGGGACTTGCTTCCATTCAGCCACAAGCATTAGTGAGGTCAGGCACTGATGTTGGGCGATTAGGCCTGGCTCGCAGTCGGCGTTCCAAGTCATCCCAAAGGTGTTCGATGGGGTTGAGGTCAGGGCTCTGTGCAGGCCAGTCATGTTCTTCCACACCGATCTCAACAAACCATTTCTGTATGGACCTCGCTTTATGCACGGGGGCATTGTCATGCTGTAACAGGAAAGGGCCTTCCCCAAACTGTTGCCACAAAGTTGGAAGCACAGAATCGTCTAGAATGTCATTGTATGGTGTAGCGTTAAGATTTCCCTTCACTGGAAATAAGGAGCCTGAACCATGAAAAAAAGCCCCAGACCATTATTCCCCCTCCACCAAACTTTACAGTTGGCACTATGCATTGGGCAGGTAGCGTTCTCCTAGCATCCGTCAAACCCAGATTTGTCCGTCGGACTGCCAGATGGTGAAGCGTGATTCATCACTCCAGAGAACGTGTTTCCACTGCTCCAGAGTCCAATGGCGACGAGCTTTACACCACTCCAGCCGACGCTTGTCATTGCGCATGGGAATCTTAGGCTTGTGTGCTACTGCTCGGCCATGGAAACCCATTTCATGAAGCTCCCGACTAACAGTTATTGTGCTGATGTTGCTTCCAGAGGCAGTTTGGAACTCGGTATTGAGTGTTGCAACCGAGGACAGATTATCTTTACGCACTACACGCTTCAGCACTCAGCGGTCCCGTTCTGTGAGCTTGTGTGGCCTACCACTTTGCGGCTGAGCCGTTGTTGCTCCTAGACGTTTCCACTTCACAATAACAGCACTTACAGTTGACCGGGGCAGCTCTAGCAGGGCATACATTTGACGAACTGACTTGTTGGAAAGGTGGCATCCTATGATGGTGCCATGTTGAAAGTCACTGAGGTTTTCAGTAAGGCATTTCTACTGCCAATGTTTGTCTATGGAGATTGCATGGCTCATCAATCTACACACAATACCATATAATGACAAGCTTCACGTCTGGAGGAAATCCCTACGTGGCACCATCCCTACGGTGAAGCATGTTGGTGACAGCATCATGCATGGTGGTGGCAAATCATGAAATATGGTGGTTGCAGCATCAAGCTGTGGGGATGTTTTTCAGCGGCAGGGAGACTAGTCAGGATCGAGGGAAAGATGAACGGAGCAAAGTACAGAGAACCTTGATGAAAACCTGCTCCAGAGCGCTTAGGACCTCAGACTGGGGTGAAGGTTCACCCTCCAACAGGACAACGACCCTAAGCACACAGCCAACACAACGCAGGAGTAGCTTCTAGACGTTTCCACTTCACAATAACAGCACTTACAGTTGACCGAGGCAGCTCTAGCAGGGCAGAAATTTGACGAACTGACTTGTTGGAAAGGTGGCATCCTATGACGGTGCCACGTTGAAAGTCACTGAGCTCTTCAGTAAGTCCATGCTACTGCCAATGTTTGTCTGTGGAGATTGCATGGATGTGTGCTCGATTGTGTACACCTGTCAGCAGCGGGTGTGGCTGAAATAGCCGATTCCACTAATTTGAAGGGCTGTCCACATACTTTTGTATATATAGTATATCTCATTTCGACTGGGTGTTTTTAAACACTTTGACACATCTGACTCATGGTCACTGCACGCTGTTTGGGTCTGGGTAGACTTGTGATTATTGAAATGTTTACCTAAAGGCTTGTTTTTATAAACACAAGCAAATAGTTGGACAAAATACCTTTCAACAAAGGAATGTGTGAAGACCACACTCAATAACTTTCCACTTTGCGGTCTTGTAAAATTTCGCCGACCTGAATTTGAAAAACCTTGATCAATTAGGCTAATATCTTAACGTGAAGTATGTTTTCAAAACTATTTTCCATTCCTGTTGTTGTACTAGGCATGAGGACTAGCCTGTGGATATCACGTTGGGCAGTGTCATCGCTGTAGGTTGAGACTAAGTGCATTGGGGGAGAGAGACCCATGGCATTGCATGCTTATGCTTTGGCCGTGGTTCCAGATACTAGAGCAATGCTGTGGCCTTGCTTCCCATATCCTGTCACAACCATCTGTTCACCTCGCAAATGTATTGCTCCATAAACACGTTAAAGTGTTGTTTATGGTGGATTTAACTATTGGGGTTGAAACATTTTTCAGATACGTGATCGTGGGCCAATTTCAATTGGTTAAGCTAAAGAGAGAGGCCTCAACAAGGGTTATGGGTCTCCAAGCTCCTTGCTTATTTGTTTTGGTAGAGCATTTAGAATTAGACCTTGGGTCCCTAGGGTGTAGTAGTGATGCAAGCTCTGGTATTCAGCCCTAGATGAAGGGTACATTCTAACATACCCCTCAAAACAACTCGCCAGGCCAGTGCTTGTCATCTCACTTTGATTTCTCCATACTCTCTCTTTTTTCCACAGCAGTCTGTGTAGTTTGTTGAATACAGGGGAATAGCTGTTGTCAAAATTCAAATTAAAGTTCATTTCCAGTCATCAGTTATATCATGTTGGGGTAGCCACCCCCAGTAGGTCAATGTAATCGTCATAGCATTTTAATTAATATAGTTATAGCACATGTACAATTGTGTTATTGTTGTGATTGAGCTTGTAAAGATATATACATTTACAAAGATAGAGCTGTGTGGTATGATTTGGGATGGTATAGTCCCCTCAAACTGAACTCTGGACCTCAAAGCCAGTTCCACTGCATTCTTTCATTGTTCCCCTCTAATCAGGGACTGATTTAGACCTGGGACACCAGGTGTGTGCAATTAATTATCAGGTAGAACAGAAAACCAGCAGGGTCCGGACCTCATAGGGTAGAAGTTGAGTACCCCTTGTGTAGGCTATTGAAAGCAGTGTATTGAAATATCTTTGTTTTGTTCCTCAGTTCTTCAGCACCCTCTTCGCACCCCTGGGTTTCTTCGCTGACAAGATGGAGAGCTTCATGCCGTCCAGTTTTTGGCATCAGCTGACTCGAATC